GTCGGCTCCGTCTGATGTGAAGCCCGCGTGTCGGCTCCGCGTGACGTGTGATAGCGGCTGCTGACGTCTGGGTGCCGGCTATTGCAGGTGCCGCCATGCTGTTGTCGGCCCCGCTGGTGGCCGGTGAGCCGCGTCTGCCCCAGCCCTACCCGCCGCTGTACACGCCTTCGCTGGGCTGCTTGATGAGTGGCGGCCGCGATGTGTTGAAGCCGCCCGCCGCCGCCGCCGCCGCTGCCGCCGCCGCTGCCGCCGACCCGTCCGCCTTGTACCCGTCCTACCATCCTGGCGTGGCCGCCGCCGCCCTCCTGCAGCTCGGCTACCCGCACGGTACGCACGCCGTCTACCCGGCCTACACGTACGCGGGCTTCGCGGCGCCGGCGCCCTCGGCCGCGGCCGCCCATCCGCCGCCGCCGCCGCCGCCGCCGCCGGCCGACTCCCGGCCGCTGTACCACCTCGGCTTCCGACCGCCGGCCGGCAAGGAGCCGCTGGTGGCGCCGCCGCCGCCGCCGGCCGCCAGGGCGGCGCCACGGCCGCCGCGCCCGCTGGATGCCGAGCTGCGCGGCTTCAGGCCGCCGCCGCCGGCCGGCGCCAAGGATGGCGTGCTGCGCGTACCGGCCCACTACCCGGCGCACGTGAGCGGCGTGTACGCACCACCGCCGCCGCCGCCGCCGCCGCCGGAGCTGGGCGCCGCCGCCGGCCCGGCCGGCTTCCCGTACGGCGGCCCGGCGACGCTCCGCCGGCCGCTCGAGGACGCGCCGACCGCGCGCATGTACGGCGGCGAACAGCCGCCGCCGGCTAAGCGCATGCGGTCCGGACCGGCGCCCGACTGTCCCGGCGCCGCCGCCGCCGCCGCCGCCGCCGGCCGCACCAAGGCCGAGATGCCGGCGGCCGTCGCCAGCGAGCAGTACGCGCCGCCCGAGTACTTCCGGCTCGGCTCCATCATCGAGCTGGCCGACGGTAAGCGGGCACCGGGACGGCGGCATGTGACTCACGGCCGCCGCTATCGTCCGGGGCGGTGTCCTGACCCCGCACCGGCGGCCGCCCACTCGAGCTCCGTCCCCTGACGTCACGCCCCCGCCACACCGGCTGCCGGCGCGGCCGTGTTGACCGGCCGCGCGGCTTGGCGAACGAGTGCAGCGGCAGCAGCTGATAGGACGGTCGCGGCGGGGGCCGCCGCGGCTCTGTCAACATCCGGTGACGGCGTCCTGGGCTGCCGCGGTGTGGCGCTAGCCGGCGTGGGCGGCCACCCTCCGACCCGGACCACTCACGGTTGTTATCGCGCGCGCTAAGTCTTGTAGCCGCTATCGTTCCACGGCGGCGAACGTGGGCGATGCTGATGCGGCACGAGGGGGTCCGATTGAACGGTCTGAACAGGGTCCCGCAGCGTTACTCGAGAAGCTGATAAAACTTACCCACAGAACCGGTGTTGCACCTGTCGACTGATAGCATGCTGATTGAAGTGAAGGTTCCCAACGCAGGTCACAAATACTGCCAATGGGCACTCCTGGCCAAATCCATCGACTCATACTTAACCTAAAGAGTCGGCCAAAATGATGCTGGCTCAACGTGTCCTGGGCAGAAAATCGAACCCGAGACCCGTCGCTCCGTGCCGACCCTTTGGCCGGTCGGCCATGACCGCTCGCACCGTCCGCCGGCAGGACGGCAGAAGCGGGTGGAGGAGCTGCAGACGGAGGACTTCGAGACGTCGGCCGACCTGTCCGCTGAGCTGAGGCTCGACCGCAGCGTCGTCACGCGCATCGAGCAGCTGGGCCGCACCGCGTACATCGTGTTCGCCGTGGGACCGTACCGGACAGAGGTGCGGCGCTGAACACGGGCACGGGGCGGGCCGGAAAGGTGTGCGATGCTGGACACGGGCACGGGGCGGGCCGGACAGGTGTGCACGGGCACGGGGCAAGCCGGAAAGGTGTGCGATGCTGGACACGGGCACAGGGCGGGCCGGACAGGTGTGCACGGGCACGGGGCAGGCCGGACAGGTGTGCGATGCTGGACACGGGCACGGGGCGGGCCGGACAGGTGTGCGGTGCTGGGCACGGGCACGGGCAGGGAGCAGGCCGGACAGGTGTGCGGTGCTGGACACGGGCACGGGGCAGGCCGGACAGGTGTGCGATGCTGGACACGAGCACGGGGTGGGCCGGACAGGTGTGCGGTGCTGGGCACGGGCAGGGAGCAGGCCGGACAGATGTGCGATGCTGGACACGGGCACGGGGCGGGCCGGATAGGTGTGCGGTGCTGGACACGGGCACGGGGCAGGCCGGACAGGTGTGCGGTGCTGGACACGGGCAGGGAGCAGGCCGGACAGGTGTGCGGTGCTGAATGTGTGTACGACTCACTGGACAGAGGTACATTACCGGGCGCCGGCATGATACACTCTGAGGTCATAGTGTAAGCGATGCTTTGTTCGGGCACCCAGCTGGAGAAGAGTGTGGGACCGTGGTTCCGGCGCTGCTTGTGTTCGATGAGTGCGGGGTACCGTTGTGGGGGTCGCGGCCGTTGAGGTTGATTTTGTTTGCTTGGTATGACAAATTCGATGACACTGGCTGTAGTCGGGGATAAATAAGGTGTCAGTAACCAACAGACCCATCGCCGTCGGCTGGATCACGATCCACGTGCATATTCTTCTGTCGTGACACTAAAAATTCACCTGATTGGAGGGCGAGGGCGAGGGGGATGTACAGCGCAGTGTACGCTGCGGCTCACCTGAGCCACGCCCGTGCGCTGCATGACGCCTCGCTGTCGATGTCCCCCAGAGCCCAGGCAGTCTGTATTGCATCATGCGATCAGGTATACAAGTCGCATATCTGTCTAGGATGACCGTTGCTTGTGACCGATGTGCCGACTGGGGCGTGGGCCTGGGACGTAGCCGTGGTGCGTGCCGCGCGCGGCTGCGGTATTACCGCCTGTGGTGGCCGCCAGGTGGCGTTGGAGGCGCAGCTGGAGCACCCGTTCTTCGTCTTCCACCGCGGCTGGTCGTCGTGCAGTCCGGCGCTGACGCTGCAGCTCTACAGCCTGCCGTGCCGGCAGCTGGAGGCGGGCGACGCGTGCGTGTCGCTGGCGCCGCGGGCTGTCGCGCCGCCGCGGGCCGCCGCGCCGCCGCGCGCCGCCGCGCCGCCGCGCGCCGCCGCGCCGCCTCGGGCCGCCGCGCCGCCTCGGGCCGCCGCGCCGCCGTCGGCCGGCCGGCGAGCGCGCGCCCGGCCCACCTACTAGCCGTCGCCAGCTGCCGCCCTGTGTGTGATCGGTGGGCGCGCGCCCAGCACCCCGCTTACCCGAGCGCCGCGTTGTGACCAGGCCTGGCGGGGTGTCGCCTCGGCCTGCGCTCAGCCCGGCTGATTGTATCCCACCCCGCCCCGCCCCGCCCGGGTGGGGGCGGCCGGCGGTGTCGATCCTCGCGATGGGGCCGACCGGTGCAGCCTGCTTTCCTGTTCTCCGCGGCGATCGTTGTGAATTCGCTGTCCGGTAGCGATCCGTGTAGTGGCGGTGTCGGCCGGAGATCGCTGTCGCCGCAGTGTCGGTCACGTGTGCTGGCGGCCGCGGTGACGCACGTCGGCGCCGTGCCAGTCGTGCCGGGCCGTGACCTGTTCGACGGCGGTCCGTGGGGCCGGGCGGCCGTCAGCTGTGCGCCGCGTTCCTGCCCGGTGGCGGTCCAGCAGGGGACCGGACCGGGCGTCCGTCAGCTGTGCGCCGCGTTCCTGTCCGGTGGTGGTCCAGCAGGGGACCGGACCGGGCCATTCGTCCTGTGATATTTTTTATCTGTCGCGTCTGTTGCCGTTATGGCGCGCCGGCGTCGAGTCGCCACTGCAGGGCCGGCTTCCCTCCCTCCGTGTTCTCTCTCCGCGTGTGTTCGAGGCCGGAGTGTGTTGTGGGAGGGGACCGGCGGCCGCTGGGACGTGTCCTGTACCCTGGCGCCGCCTTGCGGACCGGAGGGGCGGCGACACCCCAGACTTTCGAATTCTCAGGGATAAACGCGGCGACAGCGAAGGCGACCGCCGAGCATAATATCACGCTGTGGTTTGGGACTTATTTTAATAGCTGTGACTAATAAAGCGTATTATTTTTCCGAGTCTGTTCGAGCTCCGAAGTGGAAATAAACTTGTACAATATGGTGCCGCTGGTTTAACTTGACACTTGCCTCCGGCACAAGGAATTTGAAATATCCACAGTGGAACGGCGTGTGGTCAAGCCTTCATCAATACTGCACAAAGTGGTGATTTGCCCTCTGATCTGATTAGATCCGCATTCAGAGCTGCGCGGTCGATGCACGTGGCGCAGTGCGGAGATGTGGGTTGGTGGAGCCCATAAACATTTTAGAAATTTCCCTGAGCAACGATAGCACCGTATCAGCTTATCAGAATCACATCGCATATGTCACTATTGCAAGCTCTGTCAAGACTACTGCACGGTGCTTGCTCTGTGTTTTTATGCACATCCGTAATATTGTACGTCTGATCTAGCGCTCCGCGGGCTTCTTTTTCCAAAAACTGTTCGGTGGGGAGCTCGTTTCCTGTCACGCGCCACGGAAGGCGACCATCGCAGATGAGCTCCGGAGCTGCCGGAAGGGGGATAGCTTGAACACATGATGGTGGTGCCCGCGAATCCGAAGTTGGTTAGAGCATTGAAGGCCAGTGACGCGTTTACATCAACATGCGTGGCTGGAGTCTTGCGCTGGTTGTGGGAATCCGGAGCCAAATTTGACAAAATCTTGAGTTGGGTCCGATAGTTTGGCAAGTTGGGTCCATGACGTGCAATGAGTACTTGGCAACCCAAAGAACGCTGGACCACTCATGCTCTGTGAAGAAGTTTCCACGAAGCTCTTACATGGTTGGCTGTAACGGCGGAGAGGTATGAAATAGCACTGGAGTACGTCCATTCTGCGTGCGGAACTTTCCCTTCACATTTTTCACTTCAGATATGCTACCAAATGTTGTCAAGTAATTTGGTAAAGCGGCATAATGTGCGCGCTTGAGCATAACTCGTTACAAGTCTTCATTACAATGCCGTGTTTTGCTGTTGTTAGGGATAAGTTAAGCTGCAGGAGGGGGATGTTTGGAGGAATGAGCCGTCCGATAGCAAGTCTGCTCAAAACTAAAATATCAGGGCGTCATAACTAGCTCCTTGTTGGCCATCTAGATCTTTCTTCAGACTTCAGCTATCTTATCTTGCGTCCCTTCCGCTCCGTCCAAACCAGAGGGACTTGTCGCGATTGTGATTATCAAGAATGAATCCAACGTGCTACTGGTATAGTCGTTTCGGAATGCGGAAGAGTTGTTTATAGGAGGGCTGTTCGCATTCTTGGTGAGTGCTAATGTTTGTACTTAAAGAACAGTGGAAGGGCTGTTACAAACAGTGAGCAATCCTTGTGGCTCACTTTTTGGAACAGTATTCTGGTTAAATGATATATTCTGGTCAAAAGGAGTGACAGGCATGCCATTCAACATGCATGTAACACATTTTAAACATCAGGTACTGACAAATGAATGGCAAGAAAAAAATATATATGTTCCAGAGCCCCTACTTTGGAGACCCATTTCTTACTATTTTAGTCAGTTGGTAATTGGCCTAGTAGGTCAGTCTTAAAAAAATTCATAATATCAAGGTATTGTTTGACATATTGGATGCCATTCATTGAAGTGAAAGTAATGATCAGTCATATAATTGGAAGTGCTTTACAGGGATGTTGAGACCTGGACATTGCAACAAGGAAAAGGTATGGTTAGGTTTATTGTTGGCTTAAAGGTCATTGCTGCAAGACAAAGTAGACTTTCTTTCTAGAATTAAGATGCCTGGTTTTGTCACAAGTTGATATGTGATATGTATTTGTTAAGGATACTTTTCCTTCTATTTCATAGTCACATAGGTTTATATTCACATTTCGTGAATTACCCTTAAATATCTGTTACCAAGCGTGCTTGGTATCTATGTGCTGAAATAGCATGAGCATCTACAATTTTTTAATCTGGCAAGCACTCAGATATCAGTCTTCAGCTGGAATACTTTCAGCAAAAATCCTGCTGCATTGAACATCCTATCAGGTGAAAACACATTTCTTTGGGCTGCATGTTGAGGGCACAAGATACAAATGATTCCAGGCTGCCTGGTCTGTTTAGAGCCACAGGTGGCCTGCTACTAATATGCCATCTTTTCCAGTGTGCCCCTGCATTTCATGGGAGAGCTTCAAGCTACAGTGGAGTTCTCCATTGAACTTCATAAGTTTTTCAATGTTGACCTTTTCCAGAGAGGGTATGTACGACACATTTGGTTGTGCTGTAAGTGGAACAACCTGAATATAAAACATAGTGCACTAGGGTGTTTTGGGACCCCAATGAATGTTTTCTTATCCATCCTCCATGCGTTTAGCTTGCTTTAAGAGCATACGCAACACAACGCTTAAGATGGATACGCGTCGCATAAGCATATCCATCCTCCATCCTTAGATTGTTCCACTTGCAAAACAAAGCAACCTATAGGAAGCCCAGGCCTTTTCTCTTTTAGACTTTTGATTATCTGTCATTTTGATGAAGCTCCGATCCTGTGATGAGATATGCATTGCCCATATATATTTGTGTGCTTTTTCCATCTCAATATGTTTGTCTATATGTCAGAAGATTAACCTGATAATGCACTGCATATGCATCACATGATATTCATGTTGGCTGTTTTTGGGTATATATCAGCTGCAGTACTTGATATTGACTTATTAAATATAAGGGCAGATGCATTTCAATTGTGGCAGAGTTTGGATGTTTGATAAATGTTTGTATTTGTGTTATGTCTTATTGTTGGGTTGTGTGGCACAGTGTGTCCATATTATCACCAACCTGTGCCAGACATGGGAGCTCTGACAGTGGTACCCCTCCCCTCAGACATCCTCCCCTGACAGACCACACCAGGTATAGGCCTCTGCTGGTGCCTGCAACACCCGTGACTTGTCAGTCTGCACCCAATACAGGGCCCTGTAGGTGTCTGATACCCCTTCCTTTGCCAGGCTGTACCAGTTGCAGGCCTGGCTGCAGGTATCCCCCAAGCTGCTGCATCAGATCGAGGTGACTTGTGCTGAACCCTCTTCCAACGCGCACACGCACACGCCGGTGGCGCCGGCGCGCGCCGACCAGGAGCGTGCCTTCAGCCAGACCTTCCAGATCCTCTACCGCAATGAAGAGGTGGTGCTGGAGGATGTGTTCAATTTCAAGGCACACATCGTGCTGGACGCCAACAAGGTGGGTGTGAGACCTCTGCACGGTGCTGGGACGTCGGGAGGCGCTGGAGTGCTGGACATATGGCTGACAAAGGCAGTCCAAACAGTGGTCCACTTGAATGGTGGGAGAACTGTTGCATGACATCATATGACATTTCACTTGGAGAGATGTTTGGATGGTATGCCATCTGCTCTTGGTCTGTGACTTTGGATTGTCAACAACATACCATCGGTGTAGTGTAACACCATTTGACATAGGGCTCATTAAAAGCCTTGTCATCAAGGCTGTATGGACCTTCCAGTCCTGCGAGCCATATGGTGTTTCGAAAATATTGTTCTTATGCTGTTTCGGTCTGTCGCATTGAACTTGATTCAATGTGTATACCGTATGCACCATGTGGAAATTACTGTAGTAACCCCATGCATAAACCTATGACCATATGCCTATTGGTTCATGTAGCTTGGTGATTTTATGCCCAGGTAATCTGGTGCTTCCCTGACACCCGAGGGGTGTCTTGCCCTGACACTGGTGTGATTCTGCCAGACCCTGGACCTGGGTCCCGACGGCCGGAGAACTGGGCCTGCCTGGACTGTGACAACATTGACCCTGACCCTGGCCCTGACCCTGACCCTGACCCTGACCCTGACCCTGGCCCTGGCTCTGGCCCTGGACCTGGCCCTGGCCCTGGCCCTGGCCCTGGCCCTGGCCTGCCCTGGCCCTGGCCCTGGCCCTGGCCCTGGCCCTGGCCCTGACCCTGGCTCCTGACCCTGACCACCCTGACCCTGACCCTGACCCTGACCCTGGCCCTGGCTCTGGCCCTGGACCTGGCCCTGGCCCTGGCCCTGGCCCTGGCCCTGGCCCTGGCCCTGGCCCTGGCCCTGGCCCTGGCCCTGGCCCTGGCCCTGGCCCTGGCCCTGGCCCTGGCCCTGGCCCTGACCCTGGCTCCTGACCCTGACCACCCTGACCCTGACCGGTGACCTGTGCCGCCCGTCAGCTGGTGGAGGGCCTGGAGAAGGCCGCCTTCCAGCTGGCGGTGGAGCTGCACTTCTCGGAGGGTGCCGAGGGTTCGGCGACCGCGGCCGCACCCCTCCAGCCCGTCTCCTGTCGACACCTGAAGCTGCACTTCGCGCCGCTGAGGTAGGCGGCGTCCTGCGCCGGCCGGTGGGGATCGCCGCCCACGCGGCCGGTGCAGCCGGCTCGTCCACGCGTGTGGCTACCCCACTCCATTCCCCCATTCCTTCTGCCCGCTGGTGGCGCGATGCATATCGATGCTGTCACTCTCTCAGTTACTGTCGCACAAGCCGTCGCGTCCGCACCTGTCACGCCGTCTCGGCACGTCTGCTGGCCTTCGCATTGTCTGGCCGTCTAGCTCACTCGTCGTCAGGGTCTGTCTGCTATCGGTCCGTCTCAGCCGTCACACTCTGTATCTACATGTGGGCGTGTCCGGCGGACGCGCACGGGGTGGGCGCGCCTGTCCTCGCGGCCTGTCGCCCCGTCCCCGCTGTCGCCTGCCTGCTGGGAGCGCGGACCGGCCGCGGGCGCTCGGCGGCGGCGGTGGCGCTGACCGCGGCCGCCGGCTTCGCCGCAGGGGCCTGCACTACCACCTGCCGGTGCTGTTCGACTACTTCCACCTGGCGGCCGTGTCGCTGACCTTCCACGCCGCGCTGGTGGCGCTCCACCAGCCCTACATCGAGTGAGTGCCGTCCGCTCGCAGGCGCCGCTGGACTCGCTGGCTGGGGCCGCGGCTGCGGCTGAGGCTCCGGCCGAGCCGAGGTTGCGGCTGGGCTGGGCTGCACCTGAACTGGGGCTTCGGCCGAGCTGGAGCTGCGGTCGGGACGGGGCGCTAACCGGCTTGTGTACTGCTGTTGGAGCTTATGGGAGGGGACGGGACAGAGCAGGGAAAATAGACGGTCAGAGGGTGTGCTTGCTTTTGTGCAGGGTCTAAACCAACATAAACATACAGCTCGCGTTCGGTCGAGTGACGCGGTTCACGCTGTATACAAGACCCCTTTCTCTGTTGGGCACAAGTTAGCTTTTTAAGGTAGGATGGACCTTTCCGTCATTGCCAAAATCTATTACAAGCCCTTGTGAGGTTCGAAGCTTCGAGTACCCACTTTGTGATGCTGGTTGTTCTCTGTTCGCCTGCTTGTCAGGAGGCCAAGCAATGGCATAACGCCGACATGGTGAGTGGATTGGTCGTTCATCATGCCCCACCAGAAGTGGTGGTGGTCTGCCATGCACTTTCTGTTATTGGCATCAGTTTCAGAAAGCGTCGAATGCCCTTTTGGCATGTGTGCATTGTTAACTTGTGTATTTGCGCTTTTATATGTTATCTCTTACCGTGTAAAACCCGTGTTTTTCGTGCCTTGTCGTGTCCGTTCGAAGTACGCGTGATATTCAATACTCCCGTGTTCTGGCCTGGCAGCAAACATATCATGGGGGGGAGGCGGGGAGGGGGAGTGCAGATGCCCAGCACGTGTCCCTACCCTGGGCATCGCTCGACCGGGCGGATGCGGACAGACTGTGTTGGACTGTGGCGCGCGCGGCCCCACGCTCCACCAGGCCTGTGTGGGGGTGTCGCCCCGCCCCCGCTGTGGGCTTCACGGTCGCCGGCGCCGCGGCCGCGGTCAGGGGCGGCCCGACCCGTGCGTGTGTGCCGTGACCGGGCTGAGTGCGCTGACCGGCGACCGTGTCCGCGCCAGCACGCCGCGGCCTCGGCCCTGGTACTCGTCCCCGAAGGTGACCGGCAGGCGCGGACAGCCGGCCTTCTCCACCATGGAGACGGTGATCTTCGCACTCCGGTGAGTCCACTTTGGAGACGGTGATCTTCGGACTCCGGTAAGCTCACCATGGAGACGGTGATCTTGGCGCTCCGGTGAGTCCAGCCATGGAGACGATGATCTGAGGCACTCCTGTGTGTGGGTCGCGCCACACAGTGATCTTCGGCACTCCGGTGAGCCCAGCCATGGAGGTGATGATCTTCGGCACTTCAGCGAGCCCACCATGGAGACGGTGATCTTTGGCACTCCGGTGGGTCGCGCCATACAGTGATCTTCGGCACTCCGGTGAGTCCAACCATGGAGTCGGTCATCTCCAGAGTCCAGTCGTGGTGCGTTCGGTCGTCTCCAGTGCTTTGCTGAGTCCGGCTGCCGGCCCCACTGGCGCGCGGTAGACACCAGGCTGGGATGCAGGCGTGGCGTTGGAGCGGCTTGGGCTTGTGCAACTGATCAGGTCCCCACTTGTGTCTTTATCTTCTTGACTTCCTGCGACTGCCTCCTGTGTCTTCGTCATGGAATGATCGTTTTGAGTGTGGTAAGCAATACACCCATCGCAAATGATCTGTCTGGCCGTCTGTGTGTGCTGCTGATCCTGGCGCGGTTTGCGGTGGCGTGACTGTGGCGCCGCTGGGTGCGCAGACCGGCTGCGGCGCGAGCTCGCGGCTGGAGCACGCGCGCACCGTGCACCGGGCCGTCTGCTCGCTACTGCTGGCCAGCTACGAGGCGCTGCAGAGCCAGCTGGCCGTGGTGAACCGGCTGCTGCCCGTCTGGCAGCGGCTGCCCACCGCCTCCGTGGACTGCCGCCAGCGGCTGGCCTCGCTCTCCGAGACGGCCAAGGTGCGTACCGGCGCGGCGGCGTGGGTGCGGACGGGGCGGGAGGACGGCCACCGTCAGCCAGCGGTGAGGGCCGCGCCGGCCGGCCCCGCGACGCTGGACTCGTCAGCGCCAGCAGCGAAGCGCGGTGCACGTGGATCAGTGATGCTTGGCGGGGTGGGCTCAAAGCGGCGGCCTGATTGGACGCTGTCTTTCATCGTCGGGGTTATTGACTGTCGTCGGTATTAGGTCCGTGTTGCTGAATGCATAATTAGGCACAGTGCCAGGCATGCAGGCCGCTGACGCTCAACGAGCCGTGCGAGATCTTGTTTCCGTTCAGTTGGGGAGCAAACTGTCTTCGTTGACGGTGAACAAACACGTGACGTTTGATAGTACCGGCCCCACTGTGTCCAATATACCCGTCGCTGTATCACTGGATGATGGGTGTCTGACTGTAAGCACGTTGACTGTCTCCCGGCCGGTGTTTTGAATCACCTCTCCGTGACATGTGTGAGTAAGTCCTAAATCACCTCGCCACACCGTCGTCTGCGAGTCTGGTGGAGTCTCTGCCACCTGTCATTTGTGAGTCCCGAATCACTGCGTCCGCACATGTGTGTCTTGTCCCAAATCACCACAGCGTTTTAAGCAAGGGCGCCTGAATCAAGCCCCTGTCGTAATTCTCCACATTGTCGTACACGTGTCCGAGTTCCGAATCAGCACTGCCATACACGTTCCAATTCCTGCCCCACCACGCCATCTGTGTATCCGATGAAGAAAGTCGCCACTTCCACCAGAACCTCGCGTTGGCGCCGCTCCGGTGGCGGCTGTGCCGTGTCCGCGTGTCCACCCGTGCCCGCTGCTGGGCGCAGCCGTGTCCGATGCGCGCCGCTGAGTGTGGTGGTCGGCCACCGCCGACCGCTCTCTCGCTCGCTCGCTCCAACACGGCGCGCGTGTGTCCGTAGGACTGCTGCCACCGCATGTTCGGCCGGTCCGGCCGGCGGCGCTCGCCGGCGGAGGGTCGCGCCTCTCGGGTAACGCTCGCCTAGTGCTCTCTTTCGCTCTCGCTCTCTCTGCGCTCGAGGGCCTCCCGCACCGTAGTGGTGCCCGCCCGGCGATGCCCGCGGCGCCGTGTCCTGTCCTCGGCGCTCTGCCAGCTGCCCAGACGCACTTTGCGTTTCACCTATCGAGAAACCACGCCGTTCTGTCCCCGTGGCTGACCACGTTCTGTGCGTGCATACCGCGGCTCCTCTTTTACACTATGGGCCGTATCATTTCCTGCGTCTCTATACGTCGAGGCCTTCTGATCCTGCCCGAGCCTCTTTGTCATCTCCCATGCCCCTCTGATGCCCTTTTTACCACGCGCTGTAGTTGCTCTGTCCATTCACTTTTTCTTCAGTCTGCCCTCCCTGCTTATCCGTGGACTACACCCTCTGCTCTCCCAAAGCCCGCTGTCCGCGCTCTCAGCCCCGCTGTCCGTCCCCTGCCCACTCCCTCATTCCCTCTGTCCGTCCCCCGTCCGCTTCCTCATTCCCGCTGTCCGTCCCCTGCCCACTCCCTCATTCCCGCTGTCCGTCCCCTGTCCGCTTCCTCATTCCCGCTGTCCGTCCCCTGCCCACTCCCTCATTCCCGCTGTCCGTCCCCTGTCCGCTTCCGCATTCCCGCTGTCCATCCCCTGTCCGCTTCCTCATTCCCGCTGTCCGTCCCCTGTCCGCGCTCTCAACCCCGCTGTCTGTCCCCTGTCCACTCCCTCAACCCCGCTGTCCGTCCCCTGTCCACTCCCTCAACCCCGCTGTCCGTCCCCTGTCCGCTCCCTCATTCCCGCTGTCCGTCCCCTGTCCGCTCCCTCAGCCCTGCTGTGTGTCCCCTCTGTCCGCTCTATGGCCTGCACCGGGCGCACGCGTGCCGCGCAACCAGTTTGTTCTGCGGTGCCGCTGCCGTGACCTGCGTTAGACGACAGTTAGTGTCTCGGCCCAGCAAAGACTGGCTCTGCCTGTCATGGCACATGGCCCGAGTAGCGCACGTCATGTCGGGCTGGGTCGACTGCAGCAGCCCGGGCTCCGGCCCCTAGACCCTCCTCCCCCCGCCGATGTGGCCGGCCCCTGGGCTGGCCGCTGTTGGCGCTGATCTGCGCTTGCGGTCCTAGTCCCCGTGCGGGTTTAGTGTTCGCGCTGTGCTGGCATGCGGCAGTGATGACTGCATTTGGCGGCGTTCTTGCTTGTTTCCGACGCATCTTTACAAGCCGCGAGGAATGCCGTGACCCTTTCGCTCGCGCTTGCTGCCTGTGTGCATTTCAGGTGACACGGTCTTTGTCTTGCCGTGGTCCCTGTGTGATGACGCCCCTTTTCCCCGGCACTGTGCTTGCGGCTTTACGTGAGGACCCACATTTGTGCTATGGATGCCGTGACCTGTGTTGGGCTATGTGCGCTGTCCTTGACCTCAGCGCTGCGCACCGTTTGTAAGTGAGCGCCCTTTGCGTGAGCTGTTATGTGCTCATGCTGACGGTAGTGTTTTACGTATAACGATTAGGTACGAGGTCATATCGTTTCGTTTCTTGCCCGTGAGGCTTAACTTGCTGCCAATGTGGTCGGAATTGGGACCAGCAGCTGTGAGTGGCTTATAAAGCGGCGGCGGTGTTCTGGGAAGGCGGCGAGGTGGGGCCGGGCGGCCCGGCCGCGGAGCTCCGCAGCTGGTGTACCGCAGCCGCGCACCTGGGTCGGCCTCATTTGTTCACACCTGCTTTGTCGGCGGGTATTGCCGGACGGTGACCTCCACACGCTGGCAGCACTGTGGCTATCACATCTGGCTCGCGGCACTACACCACAGTGTCAGACTTCGTCAGTTCCACTGGTGACCTCTTCACGTCGTCACAGAGCCTCGTTCAGCCAACCCCACACCGAACATCCACGCACTCGTGCGACATCCATTCCTAAGGATGGCTAAATATACGAGCGGTTTATTTGCTGTGCAGCGCGTTGCATTATGTTACGGGCCTCATTTCGGCTTGCTCCCTCGAATATGGAAATTGAAATGCGAAGCAACGTCCTTTGTTAGTTACGCACACAAGATTACCATACACGCAGTATCTAGTGTATTTAGTACGTGTGAGAAATTGACGTTGTCACTGCTAGCTCATTTGAACATGTTTGACGTATCAAACGAGCACGATGCTATGTTTTAAGTTGTGTACCCACCAGACTTCACCACTTCACTTCACACTTCACTTCACACTTCACCACGGAGACAACGAAAAGTATGTGCCACGCGTCCCGGTGTTATCTTTAGTAAAGCATTACCTGCAAAATTACACAAACTATCCACCACAGCCCAACATCACCCTAAGAACACAACGGGTGAATCACCAGGATAGATGCGTCCATTCAAATCCAACCGTTTCGTTCTGGTCCAGTCGGTCTGTTCTGGCGCGGATGCGGTGGCAGTGCTAACAGATCGAGTTAGTATGCGGTGCGGGGGTTTACCAGTGCGAGAGTTCTAGCTGCCGGGCTGGGCGTGGAGTCGACCGCGGGTGCCGCGGCCGGCGGGACGCCGTGTGACGCGGCGTGTGTGGTCAGTCGGCAGGCAGCGACGAGGACCTGATGGCGGTGGCCAACAGCGACATAGCGCAGCTGTGCGCCGAGCTGATCCTGCTCTGGCAGCAGTTCCTGGAGCTGGCCGGCCGGCGGGAGCAGGTGCGCCGCTCGCTGGCCCGACAGCACCACACGCTCAGGGTAGGTGGTGTGCCAGGCAACCCCCCCCCCCCCCAAAGACAACCGATGGCAGACGAATGTGAGTACCGCACCCCAGTCTGGAGAGGCTGAGTTTGTAGCGCACACAATTGATGTGTGGTTCGAACTGTGGAGTCCAATTTTGGGACCCACAATTCGAACCACGAACCACGTAATCACCGTTACTAAGTTATTGTGTGTATGAGTTGGGAGGTGTCATGCTGAAGATAATCGACCATCAGCATGCCAGGAGGTGCTGACTGAACGCCGCGATCAAGCAAACATTAGTTACATTGGGGAAGTAAGACGTTTCAAAACTGTACTTGTGGTCATCAGTAAACTAGACCAAACAAACAAGGTTAATAAAATAAGACACGCGAAATACATTCCATGCTTCTAATCTGTTCATCCACTGTCATAAGCGTATCAAACTGTTCAATAATTCAAACTCCTACATACTAGCACCCGGTATACGGTGCTACGCCGGGACTTCACGACACAAAGGTGGCCGGGCCAGAAAGCTACGATGACCCATAACGAGCACAAGGCCAGACATAACCTAGCATGGACATCAGACGTCACGAACAGTGCACGAGCATTACAAACATTCTGACCGTGCCGGCTGTCAGGTCCTGGCACTCAATGCACCGAGTACTGATACACTCGGCACGCTGTTGTTACTGTGCTGAGAACTGCCCGAAGCAGATGCAAATGACGCCTATGGGCGCAAAATCACCTCTGATGTCGACGCGCCCTTAAGCTCCAATCACCATCATCGTCAAATAACCACTGCAGCTGATGCGCCCTTAGTACCCAATAGCCAGCAAACTAACTCGCCAAAACACAGGCGGCTGAGCTGATCGGTCTGGATGACCCGCGCTGCCCATAAGGGCAGGCTGAGACCTGTCAGCGGGCGCCAGTTTTAGTGACAAAGACTGGGGGATTACTGCTTAAACCGCGTACTCTAAATAGCATTGGTTAACCATTGTCTCAAGTGCACGATTATGTGCTCAAATTGGGACGAAGGCTCGGAATGTCCAGCTATTCTGATAGTTGGGGGTCCGTGTTGTATTATACTGTTGGTAACGTCTCCATTTTAAATAGGATATGTGTTGTATTTTGCTCTTTTTCTCGTGGCGGTCTGCTATGTTCACTGTGGCGTGCACACTCCCCGTAAATGTGCATGTGCAAGGTGTTCGTTAAGCAAGCTACGGATGCCACGTTTCGTTTCTCCCACACACAATATCCCTGAGCGGATATTACAGAGGTCTTATGCTTTTGCATTTGCCTTTCAACCCATTAACACACGTGTGGCAACTCCTGCTTTCTACTGGACACGCTGGAGGTCCCTAGGGCAGACCGAACTGGCACGAACTTCGAACTGGGACCACCAGTCCACGCTGCCCTACGACCGTGCAAACTGCTCGGTTATACGGCAGCACTCAACTATTTACACAATTTGTCATATATATATATATATATATATATATATATATATATATATTATATATACAGGGCTTTCTTACATGCATAATTTGGTTGTTGGATCTCGGGCTTGGTTTGGGCAACGATATCTAGGTCATGCACGTTTAGAAACAGTTTTAGTCGTTTTGTTTAACGCTGATGCCTGCTGGCAAGCTTCTTTCTGTTCTTGCACTCGGTTCGAGTCATGAAAACGTTTGGGCTTAACTGCTTCCGTTTCGGCCCCGTTAGCACAATGCCTGTACTGTGTCTGGAGAGCCTGCATGGCTGAATCGCTCGTGATATTCATGCAATGTTCATGACGCACCATGTTCGTATACAGTACTTTTTCTAACCTTAGCTTACAACCGTTCTGGGCCAGTGCAACATTCCTGCGAAGCTTCCTGTGTGTCATGCGGCCCTCAGTGGTGTACCGTATCGTGTATCGGGTGTTAGGACATGAGGCTCGATTATTGATTATGTTGATATCTGTTTGATGGCAGTGGCTGCACAGATTCGGAGCGCACTCTGCATGTCACGTATCATAGATCCAGTAGCCGTGTCATGTATCTTAGTTTTTAAATGATATTGTTTTTGCTAAGCCATGCTCACTTATGGCCATGAAGACAGCTCAGAAGCGTCGAGTTTTCTTAACATAGCCTGCGTTTGTTTGTGAACGTCTTCTAGCCAATGTCTTTTGGTCTGTAGAAGACCGGTTATCTTCAGCAAAAAGCACTCCTAGGCTCAAATTGCCGAAAGCCACGGCCTCAAGGCTTCCTTTGGTTATATAAACCTGTCTTGTGGCTGCTCTTAGGAGGAAGCTTAGCTGCTTCAGTCAGGTAATGACGTCATAGGCCATGCGCTGGCAGAAGCGCAATCACTCTTGTACGTGATAAGCACATGGTGGCTTGGGTGCATTGTGGTTGCAGCTCCGTTTGGGACATACGTAACCATGGCAACAGAATCCTTTCCATCAATCTCAACCCTAAAAGTGCCTTTAACCTGGTCGGGGAGCGATTAGTGTCGCTGGCGTCCATGTAAACATACCTGTCCTCGCGTGCGAGGGCTGGTTTCTTAACGCTGCATTGCATTACAGCAGCTTAGCGCCTCGGCAACAGCAAGTGGCTCAAAGCCCAGATTGAAGGGAATCTAAAGGTCAGACGTCGAGCGCTTTTTGAGTGGTTGGTACGAGCACGCCACAAATAGTGCCTGACGCTCTATGAACACCCTTCCGACTGCCAATTCCCACCTGCTAATGCCCACCATTGGGCGGCAATGCGGAGAGAGTTGTTCCGAAAATACTGACGTTTGCGTCTGTGCTCGCCCGGTATGCACGGCGACGCCTCGGCATGGAGAGTCACTGGTCACTAGCTTTCCAGCGTGCGCGTGCGAGACGGCTTGCATATATTCAAGTGTGCCCGTTTCTTTTCCGGGTAGTGATTTGAATCTGACTAGCGACACCGTCCACTGCCGCCACTGTCCGTCGTCCGTCACCAGTGTCCATCACCCGTCACCATTGTCCGTCCCCATCACCACTGTGTCGCCCGTCACTATCACCACTGTTTGTCGCCCGTCACCATCATCACTGCCCATCGCTCGTCACCAAGTTCCGTCACCCGTCTCCTCTATCCGTCACCGCATCACTCTCCGTCACCCGTCACCTCTGTCCGTTACCATATCACTGCCCGTCACCCGTCACCACCGCCCGTCGCCACTGTCCGTCGCCCGTCACCATCACCACTGTCCGTCACCCGTCACCATCACCACTGTCCGTCACCCGTCACCACTGTCCGTCACCCGTCACCATCACCACTGTCCGTCACCCGTCACCACTGTCTGTCGTCCGCGGCCAGGTGAAGCGGTTCGCTGAGGCGTTTTTCACGATGGACAACCCGCGCTCGGCGGCCACCGGCTGCTTCGACAACGCCCCGCAGCGGTACATGGCCATGACGGAGGCGGTGCGACGGTCAGCCTACCTGCAGGTCAGTCCCCCCCCCCCTCCCAGGCGCCGCTGCGAGAACGACAGCACCCCGGAATAGCGAGGACGTTTCTGTCAGCTGCCGGTGATGGTGGAGGGAGCCATAGGCGGAACGGTCATTTTCAGTTAAATCGCCGATGTCAGCTCACCTGTCAGTGTGGTTGCGTCTGCACGAAATCCCGTCGAACCAAGCGGACTGTGTGTAACGAAATAGACAAAACGCGCGGTTAGCGTAAGAGAACACGTGATAGGAAAGTGTGTGATGTCTGACGGTTTGAGGTGTACTTGATATAAGCTAATGTTCTCCCATTCAGCCTGATTTTGTGGCAAATCGTGACTCCGGGATCTCGGAGAATGACTGAGTGGAAGTGCTATGTTCGTGGAACAGTTCCATTACTGTACATTGACGCATCGAAACGAGATACACTTGGCCGAATGGGTTTCTCCCTCCAGTGGTCTGAACCATGCTTAGACTGACATATTGAGGCTGTGATAAAGCTTTCCGGGAAATAGTTAATGCTCGTTGGTATCCTTTCCAGTGTGCCTGCCCTGCCCGGTTTCCTTTTGCCGCCGGTCTGGCCTGGCCGCCGGGCCCGGTCCCCTTCTGTCAGTAGTCTGGCCTGGCCGCCGGTCCCGTTCCCCTTCCGCCGGCGGTCTGGCCTGGCTGCCGGTCCCGTTCCCCTTCCGCCGGTGGTCTGGCCTGGCTGCCGGGCCCGTTCCCCTTCCGCCGCCGGTCTGGCCTGGCTGCCGGGCCCGTTCCCCTTCTGCCAGTGGTCTGGCCTGGCCGCCTGACCCATTCCCCTTCCGCCGGTCTGGCCTGGCTGCCGGGCCCGTTCCCCTTCTGCCAGTGGTCTGGCCTGGCCGCCGGGGCCCGGCCCTCTTCCGTCGCCGGTCTGGCCTGGCCGCCGGGCCCGGTCGCCTTCTGCCAGTGGTTGGCCGCCGGGCCCGGTCGCCTTCTGCCGGTGGTTCCTGCGGCGTACATTGTCGTGGCCCGGCTGGTGTCTGACCCGGTGCGTCGCGTCGCCAGAGGCTGCCGCCGCTGCCGGTGGAGTGTGCAGAGCTGGACGGCGACCCGCACACCACGCCCGTCATCTACGAGGACCAGTACCAGCACGTCAGCGAGTTCGTGCGCCGGCGTCGACAGCACGCCGGCCGCTCACAAGGTGACCCTCCCACTTCCCCCCCCCCCCCCCCCAGCGGGACGCTTGGGCTCGGACGGGCGCGCGGCAGCCGACCTGTCGCTGTCTCTGCGGGCTCAGTTTTATGACTGTGATTATGTTTGTGTGTAGAAGAAGGCGGAAGCAATCTTTTCTCGGCTGCTGTCGGAGTGGCCGCACTTGGGTTGTTCAGGGTTGAGTGTTGTCGCACAGCGGCGCCAGCCGTCACCGTCCGGTGGCGACGGCTCCGGCTTCAGCCATGTCACAAAGCCACTTCAGCACCCGTGTCGCTTTGCTGACGGCGGTGGTGGCGTCGGCAGCACTGTGTCTAACGCGGCTTCGGTGTCGCCGCCCGCAGCTGTGACCGACTCGGGCGCCATCACGGCCGCGCTGATGGAGGAGCTGCGCACGGCCAGCACACTGCCGGCGGCCGAGCAGCGCGCCGGGCACCGCGGGCAGTCGATCGAAGTGCTGCAGAGGGTCGACGCGTCTTCGGCCTCTGCCGCCGCCGCCGCGGCGTCCTCTGCCAAGTTCGTCAGCCTGAACGGCCTGACGTTGGAGGAGGGCGCGCTGTCGCCGGGCGCCGTGTGTGGAGAGTCGGCCGCCGCTGCCGGCCGGCGACGCCGAGTCACGCCGGCCGCCGCCAGCCGGCGCCTCGCCGCCCGCCCGCCGCCGCCGCCGCCCGCGCGCGGCAGGCGCGCCCACGCCGCCGCCGCGCCGCGCGCCGCCCAGCGGCGAGCAGGGCACGCCGCCGGCGCAGGCGGGCAACGGCCCGAGCCCAAACAGTACCTGAAGGAGAAGCTGAAGAACAGCATCCGGCTGGAGCTACGGCTACCGGTGGGGCAGCGGCAACGCGCCGACGGCGGCGGCGGGCCGGCCGGGCGCCGGCCGCGCGCTGGCAGCACTGGCTCAGAGCGTGCCGCGTGCGGCCGGCCCGCTGACGACGAGGATAGCTCGCTGCGCCGCTCGCACAGCAGCCTAAGCGTGCCGGAGGCGGCACGCGCGGCCGGTCGGCGGCGTCAGCTGGGTTCGCTGCCGGACCTAGCGGCGCCGCCGCTCACCAGTCTGGAGGTGGGCCTGTTCGGCGCGGCTGGGCCGGCCCTGCTGCAGGTGCAGCGCGGCCGCGTGCTGGCGCGCCGCTGGCTGCCGGCGCCGGCCGAGGACGAGCCCGAGCCGGCGGCCGTCGGCTCGCCGCTCTCCGAGCCCAGCTCCAGCGGCAGCTCCACGGCGGCGCCCGACGACGCGCTGGCGCCGCCGGCCGCCGACGCCACGCTGAGCGCCTCCGAGTCGGAGGCCACCGACACGCTGGCCGGGCCGTCCTCGGAGCCGACGCCGACGCCGCCGGCGCCGCCGCCGCGCCTGCAGAACGGCGCGCCGGGCGGCCGGCCGCCGCGCGCCGCCGGCCTGAAGGCGCGGCTCGCGCGGCTCGGCAGGCCGTCCGTGCCGCCTCCGCGCCAGTTCCGCGACCCGCCGCGGGGCGGCAGCAGCGGTGGCGAGTCGCTCTCCAAGAGCTCGAGCCTGCAGTTCGGCCCGCAGGCGGCGCGCGCCGCCGCCACCTCCAGCACCGCCGGCTCCATCGGCTCCAAGTCTGCGCGGTCGAGCGGGGAGTTCGACGGCGACGCGCTGTACGGTAGCCTGTCGGAGATCGACGCGGCCGGACCGGCGCGCCAGCACCAGAAGCGGCTCAGTCTGCGCATGCTGAGCGGCGCCCAGTCCATCGGCAACCTGATGACGCGCAAGGACTCGCGCAAGAAGCGGCGCAGTCGTCAGGGCGCCGACGACAGGTGGGGACCGGCGACGGCGGGTTGGCGTCACGACCAGGCCGCTGACGTCAGCAAACACCCGAGGCTGGTGTGATAGCGACCGCTCACCCGGACAGCGTGCACCGATTTTGCTGCGTGGTAACTTCGGCGTATGTTGAGCTAGTTTTCTAGTTTTAGGAGACTTCTGCGTTATTGCGTATGCCGTAGTCAGTACTTTTACCCACCCCGGGAATGGAAAGCCTTGCTTGGAATTCCGCCTGTTGAAATTAAGCGTGGGATGTTTTATTAGAACTTCTCTTGTCTTTCTCTTGTCTCCCGCAGAAGAACATTCTCAGTCGTTCTCCCGCGGGACACACCTGTTCCACTGCCGAGCATCTCTGGTACTGTGCGCCCATGTCAGGGCGCTGCTGACCCTGCCCCGCCGCAGCTACGGCGCGCGGTCGGGCTCGCCGCCGGGCGGGGCGACCACGGCCTGCACCGTGCTGGAGATGTTCAGCGACGGCTTCGGCACCCGGCTGGAGGACGACGACGAGCCCGAGACGTCCACCAGCGTCAGCGTCGACCGCAGATGGTGAGCGTCCTCAGTGTGGACCGGATGTGGTGAGCGTCCTCAGTGTGGACCGGGTGTGGTGAGCGTCCTCTATCACCTGGACCGGGTGTGGTGAGCGTCCTGTGTCACTGTGGACCGGATGTGTTGAGCATCCTGTATGAATGTGGACAGGATGTGGTGAGCATCCTGTGTGAATGTGGATAGGATGTGGTGATCATCCTGTGTCACTGTAGATCGGACGTGGTGGGCGCCGTCTGTCAGCATGAACCGGATGTGGTGGGCATCCTGTGTCAGCGTGGACCGATGGCGTACGTCCTGTCAGTGTGGGCCAGATGTGAGGAGCGTTTTGTGTCGATGTGGACCGGATGTCGTGAGCGTCCTCCGTCAGTGTGGGCCGGATGCGGGGAACGTCCTCTGTCACTGTGGACCGGATGTGGTGAGCATCCTGCCTCAGTGGGGACTGGATGCAGTGAGCGTCCTCTGTCGCTGTGGACCGGATGTGGTGAAAGTCCTGTGTCAGTGTGGACTGTATGTGGTGGACGTCCTGTGCCGTTGTGGACGGGAGGTGGTGAGACGTGTGTCAGTGCTGACGGAAGGCGGCGCGCTTGGTGTGCTCTTGTGGTGCGGGTGTGGTGAGCGTTGACGGACGGCATGGATCAGAGATGCAGAGCGCCGTATGTGTGTCAAGGTGGTTTGGATGTGGCAGGTGTCATGTTTTGGGAAATAGAAGTCCTTTGTGACCTTTGTTCAGGATACGCTGTTGACCGTCCCTGGTCCAGCCACTGTCTGGCGGATCACCACGACTCTCAATTTTATTCAGTGTGGCGTAAGGTGTTTTGTTCAGATCGTGCCTGGCCGATCCGCCTCTCGCGGACGCAGCGTCACGACTTTCCGTGTTGTTCTGCACGGCGTGGGCTGCTGTTTTGATGACGGCCGGCTGCTCAGCCCGCCGCGTCTGACCGTGTCCGCCGCGCCTGACCGTGCCCGCCGCGCCTGACCCGTGCCGCTGGCGCCTGACCGTACCCGCCTGCGCCATGACGTGTCCGCCGCGCCTGACCGTGCCCGCTGCGCCTGACCGTGCCGCCGCGCCTGACCATGTCCGCCGCGCCTGACCGTGCCCGCTGCGCCTGACCGTACCCGCCGCGCCTGACCGTACCCGCCGCGCCTGACCGTGTCCGCCGCGCCTGACCATGTCCGCCGCGCCTGACCGTGTCCGCCGCGCCTGACCGTACCCGCCGCGCCTGACCGTGTCTGCCGTGTCGGACCGTGTCCGCCGCGCCTGACCGTACCCGCCGCGCCTGACCGTACCCGCCGCGCCTGACCGTACCCGCCGCGCCTGACCGTGTCCGCCGCGCCTGACCGTGTCTGCCGTGTCGGACCGTGCCCGCCGCGCCTGACCGTGCCCGCTGCGCCTGACCGTACCCGCCGCGCCTGACCGTGTCCGCCGCGCCGGCGCCCGCAGCGGGCTGCCCCTGGCCGGCAGCTCGGCCGGCGCCGCGCCCTGCCTGCCGACAACGGGCCACCAGGGCCGCGAGGTCTCCTGTGACTGCTACTCGGCCCTGGAGAACGGCGACCAGGCGCTGCGGCAGCGGCTGGCCGCCGCCGTCGGCGCGCGCACCTTCCACTTCATCACGGCCAAGGAGCAGTTCAAGCAGCAGATGAAGGGCCGCTTCCCGGGTGAGCTGTACAGGTGAGTCGGCCGCAAGGGAACCGGACGAGCCGTGGCGGGTGCTACTGCGGCGCACGGAAGGGATGCTGGCTGGCGCGGGCTTGGAATTACACCGTGTCGTTCTGGAGCTGCAATGCCGTCGTGAATGTTGGAGTGGTTTTCCGATAGTACTGCGGCGTGACGAAAGTACGCTGCGCTTCATCGCTGTCAGCATCGCTGCGCGGCTGCCTGTGAGTGGCGGCACGTGCTCTCCATCTCGCCGCGTGGCCGCGTGCTGCGGCGGCCGCTCGCTCCCCCTCAGCCGCTTCGTCCATCCATCGCGCTCCGACCGTGTGCCGCAGTGACTACCTGGGCGTGGTGACGTCGCTGCCGTACTTCCTGATCCCGGACGAGTACCGGCTGTTCAGCTCGGCCGGCCTCCACCTGGTGGTGTGCGTGCACGGCCTGGACGGCAACGCCGCCGACCTGCGGCTCGTGCGCACCTACCTGGAGATCGGCCTGCCCGGCTCCAACCTCGAGTTCATAATGTCGGAACGGAACCAGGTGGGCGTCCGGGGTCAGCTGGTCAGGTCAGGTCAGCTCCTCCCGGCCTGACTTAGGTGTAGGGCGTCCGGGGTCAGCTGGGAGCTTCTCCCGGTCGGACTCCGGTTCAAGGCGCCGCGTCGGGCGTTGAACCGCCGGACAATTGCTGATGGTTGTCTGGTGGCATGTATCCGGGGGCGTTAGTTGCTCGGCTTCTCCATCCGCTCTGCGTCCTAGGTGGTGCGTTGTGGGCACTGCTTGCTCGTCAGTGTCTCTGTATCCTTTCTCAGCAAGGTTAAGTGTTCTGGACAGTAGATCTGCCCCTGTTGTTCTCTGTCCACTAAGGGCATGCTTTGATATCACCCGTCTCTCGCGTCTGCGGCAGACCTGTCCGCAGTTGGTAGTGCGTGAAGACCATCCTCTGTCGGCCTGTCCGCCTGTGTGACCTCTCTGCAGTGATGGGGCCATGCGGTCCGTCTCAGCGCGCTCGCCTGTCCGCCAGGGCGACACGTTCTCCGACTTCGACACGCTGACGGACCGGCTGGCCGAGGAGATCTCGTACCACATCGAGGCCTTCCACCTGCAGCCGACTCGGATCAGCTTCGTGGGCCACTCGCTCGGCAACATCATCATCCGCAACGTGCTGACGCGGCCGCAGCTGCAGCCGCACCTGGACAAGCTGCACACGTTCCTCAGCCTGTCGGCGCCGCACCTCGGCACGCTCTACAACAACAGCGGGCTCGTCAACATGGGTAAGTGCGCGGGCGCGGTCGGAGCGCGGCCTGCGGGATTCAAGCTCCTGGTCGCAGCGACGAGGGGCTACTGTCGGGCTCGGAGAGGCGTGTGAGACGACCCTTCGCCGCGGGCCCGAGCTCCTGGTCGCAGCGGCGAGAGTTCACGGTCGGTCTCGGAGGGGCGTGCGAGACGGCTCTTCGCCGCGGGCTCGAGCTCCTGGTTACAGCGGCGAGAGGCCATGGTCGGGCTCGGAGGGGCGTGCGAGGCGGCTCCCCGCCGCATACTGGCCAGGATCACGTTCAGCCAGGCTGAAAGTTGGGAAGACGGCGGTCGTGAGGAGCTGACCGGCTCCGTAAAGTGACGAGGGATCGTTCACACGACACCTCCGAGGGACTTCCAGAGACGGGAACCTGCATTGGCGTGGTACCACGTGTCTTTTTGTGGACGAAATCCAGCGTTCAAATTTTCATCACAATGCTACTGGAAATGCATTATTACCTTATCTACGCTCATTATGACTTTTCACATGTGCACGTAACCTTGGCATAGTCTTCACCGGCGTAACGTAACATTGGCATCGCAGCTAGTTAAATAAATTTTCAATTGTTGCGTGATAGGGCTCAGAACTTCACTACTCTGAAATGCGTCCTCATGGCTCCATGCGATAAGAGACGCCACGTGACGTCGGACAAAGTTCGCCCCGCCTGGTTAAGCCCAAAAGTTAACGATGCATGACAGACCCTTGTCGACGGCGGCGTGTTGGGGAGAGCGTGGGAGGGACGGCGGGCAGGGCGGGAGGGGGGGGGGGGGGGGTCACGCACACCGCCGGGTGCAGCTGCACCCAGCGGAGAGCGCCGCGCTGGGCGTGCCTCGCGCTGCATTAGATGTGATCTGCGTCGGCTCTGTTTTGCTGGTGGGCGGCGGCGGCGGCGGCCGGCACGTTTGAGCGTCGCCGCTGTTTGTTGCATCAGCTGCCGCCGGGGAGAGAGAGAGAGAGCCGCGAGCTGTCGGGGGCGGTCTGCTGTATGCCGGCGGCATGCATTACGCGTGACCGAAGCTGAGTGGTGTGTTTGTCCAGTGTCGGCCGCCAAGGTCTCGGTGCCGCTTCACTGTATTTACACGGGCGGCGCCCGCCATGGCGGCGGCGAGCGCGGAATGCTTATTCAACTTTGCGACGTCGTCACGGTTGTCTGTGGAGGCCGCCCCAGTGCTGATAACCATGCCCGTTGTGCCGCGCGAGCATGTCGGTTGTCCACGGCTGGTGCGGTGGCCGTCAGAAACGTCATTGAGAAGAATAATGAGGCATCGAGTCGCCATCCTTTCACCGCGTCTAGCGTCGCTTTTCTGTAACGCATTTGTCCTTATCAGTCTGATTGCGTGTGACTTGGAATGCCGTGTGAACTGAACACAGTTGTGCCTTCGTGCGCGACATCGGGTGATTTTCAAGTTTGACACGCCTGGTCACAATGCGACACTCAGTGGTGAGACTGCGGAAGCACCGATGCTTTGTTTAGTCCAACCAGTAACGCATGCAGTTGAATGCCAGCATCAAATTGAATGGAAAGATCTAACTGTAACCACACGTGTTCCTCACTATCTTCATTCGGTTGCTGCACACACATACATGTGTATGTGGAATCCAGAAGAGCGTTGTGGTGCGAGTGTGTTAGCAATCGCGGTGGTCCACTGGTTTGAGTGCCGATCTCGGCTAACACAAGTGCCGGTGTCCTTAGTGGCCGAGGCAAAACTACTCTATATATTGGAAATGCGCCCAGCGAATTGCTAGCTCCTAAGCGGCAAACTCAGTGGGTTCTGACTTGGGTTTCCGCTGTGCCCATTCGCAAATTTTCTTCAAATTTAAAAGAAGCAATGTAGCACACATCACATTTCCCGTTTCCATCTTCTTATACGGGTTACATACACGCCCAGCCCATTGTTTTTTTCAGGTACTAGCACACCACAGGACTAATGTCAGCACATATTGCCAGACTCAGTAGGAACGGAGCAGGACGGCATGAAGGCTGCTACACAAGAAGACTTGAGGCGTGAACCGATTTACCGGCGTAATGGTGCACCTGTTTTTATCAAGCGAGGCGCCTGTTCGGGCCCGCGCTGTTTGTTGAGCTCCGGTACGGTATTTGTTGTTATATTTGGCATGACCGTGCACCCAGCTCCTCAAATCGAGGTAGTGGTTAATGCACACTTCGGTAATGGCTTGTGACAGGCACAAAGAAGAGCTTGGAGGTTTCGCGGAGAGAATGTGGGCAAAATATTAGGGAAGAAGGTGTGCACTGTCTCGTAGGGTGTTGGTAGGAGGCAACCAGAATTGACTTGTAACATGTGAGTGACTCCATGTAACCAAGTCATTGCAATTGTCTTCTCCACGAAGATTTACTGCCCGTTTCAACACATATGGTTATGCTGAGTCCCTACTAGAGGGCTTCACGAGTTGGGTGAAACCGTGGCCAACGGGTTGGGTCGGGTACAGATTTTCGGCAAAACGACGGGTGGGGACATGGGTAGGTAAGACGTTCATATAATGTTGTATAGATTCTTCAATTCATACTACGCAGTGGCTAATGCTTGTGCTGGTCATTGGAACATCCTACTGGAAACGCCTAGGATTCTCATGACTTGATCCGTTGATCGCCTGATACCCTGGCTTAATCAGCGCCTCCCTATATACTGAAGGTCAGTGTTTCTTGCCATAAGGATCCGTAATGCCAAACAAAGGAACTGAAGGGATGAGACCTCTCTTGCTTGCATGAAGAATATTGTTACCTTAAGGTCGAGCCTTTTTTGTTGTTTCAGCATTTTCTGTGATTCTTGAATTCCTCGGCAGTTCTGAAATTGCGAACTTAGGGATAAAGACTCTCGCTCTTCGGGCTTATCAGATGCTGAACGTAGTAACGGACGATTGAAGTGGGCGGTGTTGGACAGGGCTTTTCTTATGAACAGATTGTACGCTTATATTATTATTATTACATGTATAAGCATAATCTAACTTTCTCTAACCTTGGTTTCCCTTGTGTAAATGCCGCCAGGCCTCGCGCACCTCGTCACAGTATGGTTACCCGGCTCTGGTCAGGCCTACAGGGCTACACCGGGCATACACCACTCGTACATCATAATATGGAGCAGATGAAACACATCTATGGCTACCCTGGTATCGTTACAAGCACGTTTGGGAATTCAGTGAAATATTCGCTGCCCGACCAAACTTTTAGCAAAACGGACGGTGCATTGGTGTCGCTACAATCCACTTGTGTCGGATTCTGCCAACTCCGCAGAGTACGCGCCGAACATTCTCCGAATGCTCTGATGACGGTTTGTTTATGGCCGGCGCCGCGGCCGCGCGGTTTGGCCGTGCCAGCCGCTGCCGCTGGTCGCCCTCCGCCTTCGAGCGCTCCGTCAGCGCTGTCTGGGCGGTGCGACTGGCGGTGCCGGGGATCAGGGCGCCGCCAGAGTGGCGGTCTATGACCGGAGCTGTCAGGCCGGCCGTAAACCCAGCCGGCGCGAGGTGGGGCAGCAGGGCGCCAGCGGCGGGTGCCGGGCGGCGGCAGGCCGTGTCAGGCAGCGGCTGGCGGCGCGTCGGACCGCGACGGACCGCTGCGGCGGGGCCGCCGGCGCCGCCGTCTGACGCCTGATGCCTGGCGCCTGATGCATGACGCCTGACGTCTGGCGCCTGCTATCTGACGCCTGACGCCTAACGCTTGCCGCCTGCCGCCTAACGGCTGACGCCTGACGCCTGAGTCTGAGCCTGAGCCTGAGCCTGAGCCTGAGCCTGAGCCTGAGCCTGAGCCTGAGCCTGAGCCTGAGCCTGACGCCCGACGCCTGAGGCTGATGCCTACCGTATGGCGCCTGCTATCTGACGCCTGACTTCTGACGTCTGACGTCTGACGTCTGATGCCTGACGTCCGCCTGACGCCCAACGTCCGCCTGACGCCTGACGCCGGACGTCTGACGTCTGATGTCTGACGCTTGCCGCGTAGCGCCTGACGCTTGACTTCCAACGCCTGCCTTCCAACGCCTGCTGTGTGACGCCTGACGCCTACCGCCCGTCTCACGGCTCATGTGTGGAAGTAAACAGCGGCGGCGCTTGGGGCAGCGCGTGCCGTCCGACCGGCGCCGGCTGCGCAGGCCGACCCCTCCGACGCGTCACGGGTGGTAATGAGCCCTGAATTAGACGCAGTCGGTACTAAGCCGGCTGTAGCGCGACAGGCGGTGATGTGCTCCAGCCCCGGTGATGTATGTGTGTTGATTAAACATGCCGCAGATTATCGACGTCATGGAGATCCTGTACGCTGTTAATTGACACACTTGCCAGAGCATGCTCGTGCCATGCGACGGAGTTCGGCTGCCACAGATGTAAAGCTGTTGTTTTCCCACGGGAGACGTTGCGTTTGATAAGGCTCAAAGGGATGGTTTGTTTTTGCCAAATGGTGGCCGCTTTGTTTTGTGTAGTGCTGCGGAGACCGGTAGTTTAATAGCTTAAAAGGACTGAGCCTACCAGAAATGTCGTCGTGGCGTATTTTTTTCTCAGAACTAGCAGACAACTGGGGCAAATAAGAAGTCGGGACCGGGGGAGGGGGGCACGGGAGTGGGCGAATCCCCATACCTGAAATTTCGTCAAGTACTGTGCCTTCAGCCGTAAGGTGACAGACTGAAATACTACCGCATACATAGTCACAATAAAGCTACCACTCTTCGTTCCCGTCTCCCGCAGGACCCATGCTCAGCTTGCAACGCCACAGAATTGTAACGGGGTTAAGACAAAAACTCAGGAAAAGCGCGCATACGAACTGCGAGACGAGAGTATGACGTCATAAACCAAAAGCGGTGTTTCGATTGGCCCGATCCTTTTCAACGTTGGCCACCCCGACTGCGTCTGAAGCTGACCGCCTTCTGCCGCACCGGGAAAAAAGGCTGTGTTGAGAAGCTGACGGCCTGGCGAAATACACCAGTCGTGTGTACATGTGATGTACGTGAACATAGTCCAGCTCATCCAGCTCGTATTGCTATAACTATTGAAGCAAATGACGGTGAGTCGTGCTGTTGGAGTGACGGGTCGACTGCGGAGCTTACCAGTCATGTCCCGCCTCCGTGCTGCGCACTCTGTATCCTTGTACTTCGCGTGGGCGGTACAGGTCTGACAAACGGCGGCAGTGTGGCTCAACTGACCGTGTCTCCCTCTGAGCGGCGCGACCCAGCTGTCAGCGGCAGTGTGTCAGCTGACCGTGACTCCCTCTGAGGGCATGACCTGGCTGCCAGCGGCAGTGTGGCTCAACTGACCGTGTGCCCGTTTGTGCCGGCAGGCATGTGGTTCATGCAGAAGCTGAAGAAGTCGGGCTCGCTGCTCCAGCTGGCCATGAAGGACGCGGTGGACGTACGCCAGACGTTCCTTTACCGGCTGGCCATGCGCTCCCAGCTGCACCAGTTCCGGCACGTGCTGCTCACGGGCAGCTCCCAGGACAAATACGTGCCCATTCACAGCTCGCGCATCGACCTGTGCAAGGCTGCCATCCGCGACCCGACGGCCACCGGTGAGGGGCAGCGGCGCCGTCCACGCGCCGGCCGCGGTCCGACGGGCGCGCTCTCCTGTCCCGAGGCTCGGAGGGCACTGCCGGTGGAGGTCGGTGATGTGTTGTGGGGTCATAGCAGCTCCACATCGAGTTACGGTCATCGCACATCTGGGTTGTTGAACGGAGAGGACGTGGATAGCGGCCTCTCGGCCAGCAACTGCGGTATTCTAGTCGGGTGCTGCCTGGCTTGGTTTATTCGTGTTGCGTCCTGCCACAACCGAGTATTTGCATTCGTATTCGTATTTATATTCGTATTCGTATTCGTATTCGTACTCGTATTCGTATTCATATTCACATTCGTATTCGTATTCGAATTCGCATTCGTACGCATATGCGTCCCGCGAAGTGAGTGCGTGTGCGCTGGTCGAGATGCGTCAATGCTCTCGTTGTAACGAGGTCATTTGGCTGGCTCCGCATTGCCATGGCAGTTCCAGGGCGACTCGCACGGTAGTGACGGTTGCCAGTGGCCTCAGTAGTCAGCGTGCTTTGGAATTACCAATAATCGATCAATCACCAGCGGTGTATTGGTGCCGGTTGCCGGTTCCGCTGTCGCTCGGAAAGCCCGCCTCACGGGCGGCTGCGGGCCACCCGAAAGGCGCCTGCCGCGGAACGCCGGCGGCCGCTCATGTGTTACGGAACGGCCGGCGTCTTTCATGTCGCCGTTCGGTAGTACGTGCCATGTGCATGCGTGCGTGCGTGCGTGTGTGCGTGCGTGGGGGGGGGGCGGTGGGGGAGGGGTCACAGGCCGACGGTCCTGAGCCGGTCGTGACGGCGTGACGGGGTCCCGTGACTCCGGGCGGCGTCACGCTCGGCGCTGGCACGGCCGACACTCATCGCCGACGGCCGGCCGGCCGCCGTTCAGGCCGTTTGCCGTGTGAACAGCACGGCGTGTGTGTCCAGCCGTGCGGGAGCGCGCCGAATGCATTGTCGGTACGTCGGTCGGCCTTGGCCGGTTAGCGGATACATTGCGGGCGCCGCATGGCGCGGGGTTTGTTGTGAAGCTCACGCCGGGTCTTGGGTCAATGACCGGTCCTTAGCGCCGGAAATCAACACGAACATGTGTCGTTAAGTGCGCCATTTAAAAGCGATAGCGGTGTGCACCATTGAAGAGCGGCTGGTATTGGGCGCTACTTCAATGTCGTGTTGGGGGGGGGGGGGGGAAGGGCTCTCTGGGGAAGGGACGCGCGGGGGGTGAGTCGGGCTGAGGCTTTTCACAGCTATCACAGTCTCCAGTTGAACTAGTTAACGAATAAGGTAACTAGTTCGAGAGAATGTCGGATCCCTGCTTTATTTGCTTTCCCCCCAACCATATCGTGAAAGTTTGGCTGGAAAAAATTGTTTGAACGTCTCGTTCTCGTGGTCGTTACGCGACATGCCGTTGGCTCCTGGGGGCGGCATATTTGCCTTCTGTACGCCCGAATGTCTGTGCCTTCTGTCGGCGACGTAGCGCTGCCGGACCGTCCTCATTGACGCTGACCTCGAGGATGACAGTGTAGGGACCGCAGCTATTCAGCTGTCGCCACGCGCGGCCGTGCGCCGTGGCTGGGAGCTCCTGTTCACGTGGGCCTTCGTAAGAGGCCCGGCCGGCCGGGCGCCCCGGCTCGTCTGTCTGTGTCCCGGCGGTCCCGGGGCTGCCGTCTCTGACCGCGCCCCCGAGGACGAACGCCGGATGTCCAGCCTTTGATTGGTCTCGCTTTATGTGACGAGCGCGACTGACTGTCGGCGCTGGTCATCTAGCGAGTTTGACGGCGGGTGGGCGGCTGCGTATCGGGTATGCTGGAGCTTGGGAGGCGGCGAGAGGGCTCAGTGGCGAGACGGGCGGTGGCCAGCTTGGGAGGCCGTGGAAGCGTTTGGTCGGGAGTGAATGGAGGAGAGTCGAATGAACAGGCCGGCCCGGTGCGTGGAATGTGCATGTTAATCGTTTGAGGTCCAAGTGGCATCCCGATCCGGCTGTAAAGCAGGCGTTGTTACGGACTGGCATCTTACGACATGCCTTGTCAACTTTGTTTCCTATGTCTGCGTGCACACTGAGATGAACGTGTCATTGTCAACGCGAGGTTTGACGTGGTGTCGAAAGTCCCGTCGTTTGGTTCCAAAAGCACCCTTTTCAATGTATGTGACGTCATTCCTCTAATAATTTGATCACCTTGGTGTAGCGCGAATCTGTGTTGTGAGCGAAGTGGTAACCCCACTCAACACATGCGAGCGGAGCATAATCTGAATGCAATACTGAGCCAGCTTGGGACATTTGGTTCCCGTGATCATGCACCGTTGTATTTGCCTGTTGCGACTACCCCGTGCAGGCCTTTCGACATCTAGGCCCATTTCCTGCAGCCACTGTAACGTCTAAGGGACGCTAGCAAATGCTAGTCCGCGGTTTCAGCAGTGTTGCTGGCGGCTGCCCCCCCCCCCCCTTCTTCCTGGCCCGCCGGCGGCAGGTGTCGAGCGTCACCCTCGCTGGCTTTGTGTGTGTGTGTGTGTGTGTGTGTGTGTGTGTGTGTGTGTGTGTGTGTGTGTGTGTGTGTGTGTGTGTGTGTGTGTGTGCGTGCGTGCGTGCGTGCGTGCGTGCGTGGGTGCGTGGGTGTGTGCGTGCGTGCGTGCGTGCGTGCGTGCGTGCGTGCGTGCGTGCGTGCGTGCGTGCGTGCGTGCGTGCGTGCGTGCGTGCGTGCGTGCGTGCGTGCGTGCGTGCGTGCGTGCGTGCGTGCGTGCGTGCGTGCGTGCGTGCGTGCGTGTGTGTGTGTGTGTGTGTGTGTGTGTGTGCGTGCGTGCGTGCGTGCGTGCGTGCGTGCGTGCGTGCGTGCGTGCTTGCTTGCGTGCGTGCGTGCGTGCGTGCGTGCGTGCGTGCGTGTGTGCGTGTCGATGTATGTGTATGATGTCGTATGACGTCGTTGTCATTGGGGCTCTACGACACACTCAGCTGCTGAGGCCATATGGCATCGCCTGCCTCTCGCCCTAGCAGGAAGGGCGGGCATCGCGTGGCATCGAACCCCGTACCTCTGGTCTCCCAGACGCGCGTCTTGTGACGTCGGCGTTCTGTGTGTGTCCAGGCGCCGCCTACCGGGAGATGGTGAACAGCATCATCGGGCCGATCGTGCAGCGGCCGGACGTGTCGCTGGTGCGCTACGACGTGCACCACGCGCTGGCCAACAACGCCAACTCGCTGATCGGGCGCGCCGCCCACATCGCCGCCCTCGACTCGGAGCTCTTCATCGAGAAGTTCATGGTCGTGGCCGGGCTTAAGTACTTCAAGTAACGTCGACGGCTCGGCGCGGTCGGGAGGACGGAGCCTGCCGCGGCCTCTGCCTGAGGGTGGGGTTGCGCTGTGCGGTGCCGTGGCCGACCCCGGTCAGTCGGCCACCGTTTGCACTCGTCCGGCGGCGCGGCCCGCCCCGGCCGGGGGTGGGGCCCCCCGCGCGCCGATCCTCCGCTCTCCCACCCTCTCCCCCATCTCCATCAGCGGCCGTAATTGGGCGACCGGGCGGCGGCCGGCGCACGCCCCCCATCATTGTCTGGGCGGCGGGCCGCACGCCTCGCGTGCGGCGTGCGCCGGCCGGCCGGGAGCCGCCGGCCAGCTCCCCGGCGGACCAGCCAGCCACCGCTGCCCCCCCCCCCCCCCCCCCCAGCGGACCAGCCAGCCGCCGCTGCCCCGCATACAGCGAGCGACCCCGGCTGGCTGCATCATCGAGCTCACGTTTGTTGCGTTGTGGTGGTTTGTAGTTACTTGGCGGCCTGCGACTCATTCTGCACCGATGCGTTGTGCTCATGTCACGGGTTCGCCCGCCGATGTCGGCCCAGCCTGTGGGGAGCCGTGCCAGTCTGGCTGGCGCTGTTCGCGGCGAGGCCCCTGACGCTGAGCGGCAGCATGCTTCCAAGGACTATGCATCGACGCTCCCTGGGGACTGCCCTGGTTCGGAGACGTCTGTATCACCAGACTCCCCACCCGTCCGCCGCGCGGCGCCGTTTGTTCATGTTCCCGCCGCGCCGCGAGACTGGGTCTCGGAAAGACCAGCCGCGCAAGTCCGGGGTCGCTGGTCGCTGGTCTCGAGTCTCGGGTCTCGAGTCTCGGGTCTCGGGTCTCGGTCTCGGGTCTCAGGTCTCGTGTCTCGTGTCTCGTGTCTCGTGTCTCGTGTGTCATTCTCCGGAGTCTCGTTCTCGGGTCTCGGTCTCGGTCTCGGGTCCCGGTCTCGTTCTCGGGTCTCGGCTCTCGGCTCTCGGCTCTCGGCTCTCGGCTCTCGAGCTTTTCACGGCCCGCCTGCCGCATGACGGCTGGAGTGACGGCCGCGGGGGAGTTTGGTCGCCGTCTGCGGAGCGGACCGTAACCGCCGCCCGGCCCGTCTGCCCAGCAGGCGGAGACGGGGCGGGGTCGACCCGGCCGCTGCTCTGTTGTTCACCCCAACCCGGTCACGGCCCCCCACCGGACAGATGTCCGATACTAAAGCGAGGCCTGTCGGTCCGTGTCCGGCGGGAATGTTCCTATCTCTGCGAGCTTTTTCCGATCGTGTGTAAACGCCCCCCGTGCCGGATTGCGTCCCTGCCCCAGATCAGCGTGTCCCGACCCCAGGTCAGCGTGTACCCGCCCCGGATCATCGTCCCCCGCCCCAGGTCATCGTGTCCCTGCCCCAGGTCATCATGCCCCCTTTTCTGGTCATCGTGTTCCTGTCCTAGGTCATCGTGTCCCTGTTCCAGGTCATCGTGCCCCTGTTTCAGGTCATCGTGTCCATGTTCCAGGTCATCGTGTCCCTGTCCCAGGTTATCGTGCTCCTGTCGTAGGCCATCGTGCTCCTGTCCCAGGCCACCGATCCCCTGTCCCAGGACAGTGTGTCCCCACCTCAGCTGGTGTCTCCGTTCCGAGTTACTGTGTCCTTGTCCGCGGTTTGTGGGTCCCTGTTCCAGATCATCGTGTCCCTGTCCCAGGTCGGTATGTCGCTGTCCCGGGTCAGTGTGCCGTTGTCCCGGGCCAGTGTTCCTTGTTCGGGCCGGTGTGCCCGTGTCCCGGGTCTGTGTGCCTGTCTTGGGCTAGGGTGTCCCTGCCCCAGGTCGGCACGTCCGTGTCCCGGGCCGGGGTGCTCGCTGGTCGGGGGCGCGTGTTTCTACCTCAGCCGGTGCGTCGTGCCAGGGCTGGCTGCCCGGCCACATTTCCGGCCGCGTAATGGGTTCCGCTGGCGCGGCACGCTGAGAGGCAGGCGAGTCCCCCTTCCCTCCCTCTTCTGCCGTTGTTAGGGAGGGGGCGGGCCTGGTGTTCGGCTCCTTAGTGCGGAGGTGTAATCGGAGGGGGGAGGGAGGAAGGGGTGGGGGTATGCGCACAGTGAGGACGCCGTGCGTCAGGTCGAGATCGCGGTCATCTGTTACGTCACGCGTACTGTTGATGTTGTAGACTGCACACGGCGTGGGCCGGCCGCCCTTGTCTAGCGGCGCTCCGGCGCACCACGGGCACGCGGCGGCCTGCCTGCTGCGGCGGCTCTCTCTCTCGGCGTCTGGACGGCGCGCCGCCGCGCCCGTCGGCGCCCAGCACCTCCCTCCAGGGCCGGCCGTTGGCCGGCCCGGTAACGCTTCTGTCCAGCACTGCACAGCTCGTCCCCAGTCTGTGATCGGCCGCCGCCGGCCGCCGCCGGCCGTCGCGAGCCGCCGGTCCCGGTGGCCGGCTCCGTCGGCCCGTTAGCCGGTCTCTTAGCCGGTCGCCGGCGGCGTGTTTGTGCCCGGTCTCACCGTTTGATCTCGCAGGAGATTCTCTGAAGTGGCGCGGGTGGCGCCTCAGCGGCGGCTACGTTCGGCGGTGTGTCAGGTGTCATTGAGGCTTCGTATAGAGGTGTTGTGCAGATGACGGCAGGCTACTACTGAAGGCAGGCATAGACGTGTTGATGGGATGGCGGCATGCTGGTGACGGTATCTCAGTGGAAAGTAACTGTGTGCCATTTTTCATTCTAGTTAGTGGTCGCGTTTTGTTTGCGCTGCACCATGGGCATTGTTTTAAGCCTCCTAACGGGGTCACTTCGGCGCGTTCCGGGTTTGACGTGTGTTTGACCCCATTAACTCGTGCTGTACTCAATCGCTGCGGATGGTGTACGCTGTCGGAGTGTCGTTGTTTTGTACCAGACAGGGGCCGCGTCCCAGGCCAAGGTGTGTGCGATGGTAGCACAGTGTGCTGGCGCTCAAGACTGTGCGTGACGGGCCGACTGGGGTGCGTGAGCGCGTATGTGTGTCGGTCGCGCGGGGCCAATATAGGGCGGCGTGAGCGAGACGGCGTCTGTGTAGTGGGTTGATTAGTCCGGCTCCAGCCAGCAGCGGTCTGCACGCGTGGCGTCGGAGACAGCCGCTGCCGGAGGATGTTGCTCAATACCCGGCACGTGCGGTAGCTGCGGGATTTGTTTAATCCACTGGGGATGTTGAATCGGGTAAATGATATGACAAAAGCGACTGCAATACCGGACCGGAGCCCAAACCTCCGTACATTTCACCTCAGGTCACCAACTGTACAGAAATGGCCTCGACGCATGGCACGAAGTGCAAGGAAGCATTTTTGTCACCCTCGTGGTTTTTGAAGTTAGCGTTATCATGCTCGATGCAGTAAGGGCGCCTTCCATCACTCGGCGGTTCTGCGGGAAAAACCGGGCTACGTCACGCGCTTGACTGAAGTGGGTACGCACTAACTGAAGCGTGCTCTCTGCCTTGCACTTGTCGGGTCATTTTGCATCGACAAGGATTGTTAGCATCCATAAGGAAATGAAAGAATGGAGGGGGTCACAGCAAAGCACTTTAACCAGGTCAGACTTTTGGAGGTGGCGTGAATATGTGCGTAAATGCAACGCAATAGGAAGTAAGTACTTAAAGACTATTACCTCATTTTTGTAAGATAACGTGACAATTGATTTCCCGAGGGGGTAGCGAACCTGCTCTCTCTCGGACCGTTGGCGCGCTCGTGCGTCTCCTGGCATACGCTTCCCCTGCTACTCAATGCGTCTGAATCATCGCTGACAATGGCTACGCCTGTTCGCGTAGGCCGAGGCACCACCGTCCCCGGTATCTTCTGTGCCTGCTGAACAGGTGGACACAGGCCCGTCTCGTCTGGGTCAGTCTGGTGAGCGGGATGGTCGTTCGCAGCATCTCCTCGTGGGGCTGGAGGTCGGCCGGCCACTCGGGGGCCAGAGACGACACTAAACCGTCAGATGTGACAGATATGACGGCCCGTTCTGAGACTGTCGTTCCCCGGGGCCCGATCAGTGCTATCCCCAGGAGCTCCATGTGCGCTCGGTGCAGCTCGTGGCCGCGTAGGCGAGAGATGCAGTCGCCATCACCGCTTTGGTTGGCACTGGAGCTGTCGTCTGAGCCGTCTGTCGAGGTGCGCTGATCCCGTTTACAACACGTGCTGATCATCAGGTCAGGTCATCAGGTCTGCTGATCCCGTTTACAACACGTGCTGATCATCAGGTCAGGTCATCAGGTCTGCTGATCCCGTTTACAACACGTGCGCCTCGCAGACTGTGACGTTTGCTCCATCCGAATCTCCTGCGGGGTTGGGGGCGCTAACATGCGGGGCCTGGACCCCATCAGTCGAGAAAATGTAAATATACCACCATCATCACTACGCTTATGGTAGCGTATGCCAACAAACGAACCGCACAGCCGCCCAGTGCCCCAGTGATGGACAAGTCCGGTTTTGGGAGCTGCGGCTGACCGTATACAGACCACCAGTGGCCAGTTGTCCGGCTCGATGGCCGGGTGGCCGTACACAGACCATCAGTGGCCGGTTGTCCGACTCGGTGGCCCGGAGGCCTTGCGTAGGCCGTCAGCGGCCAATTGTCCTGCTCGGTGAGCCGGGGCGGCCGTATACAGACCATCAGCGGCCAGTTGTCCGGCTCGGTGGCCGGGTGGCCGTGTACGGCCCATCAGCGGCCAGTTGTCCGGCCCGGTGGCCGGGACGGCCGTGTACGGCCCATCAGCGGCCAGTTGTCCGGCTCGGTGGCCGGGGCGGGGGTGTACGGCCCATCAGCGGCCAGTTGTCCGGCTCGGTGGCCAGGGCGGCCGTGTACGGCCCATCAGCGGCTGATATCCGGAGCCGTCACCGCGGGGCGGTGCTGCGCCCGCACCTGGCCCCGGCCCACCTGCCCCCGCCCGGTCAATAGTCCCGCTGTCTGACCGGACCGCCGCCCGCAAATGAGCGAGCCACGATGTAGATGCGGACCCCCGATTGATTGGTGCCATAGGAAGAACGTTATTGTTTTGGACGGGGCAGTATCCGGACATTAACTGCGGCTCGCATCGGAATCTTGCCCCTTGTAATCAAAACGATGTATCGTTCTACTGTCGCCAGGGGCGCCGCTTGTTTCCTGATTCCCAGAATCCGCCCCGCTGATCCACTACTGAAAGATCAATACAAAAATATTATGCTGAATACTTGCATGGATTCCTTTGCGCTCATTGCGCTTGCAAAGCAGAGCTGGTTGCGTGTTCCCTGGTCGCAGCAACGCAAGCGAGCCG